TGTTATGGTCTGCATTGGCATGGACAATCTGGCTTATTAAAAATGAAAAATTGTTTAACAATGGTGCAGTTGACATTGAAATAATGTTTGACTTGATTCAAGTTAAAAGTTTTCAATGATTGACAATTCGAAGGCATGCAAGGCATTTTAATTTTTTGGACTCCCCCTCTTTTTTTATATTTTTTATCGACTTTTTCGGACTGGATCCTAAATCCAAGATTATGCTGCTGCAGCGCTGAAAGGATGGGATGATGCTGTAACTCAGATATAGTGAGTTGTATTTTGAGTTTAGTATTTTATATGAGTTGAGTACCACTTATAATTAAAAGAAAATAATATCACTCGGCTTTTCAAAAAAGAACTTTGAACTTTTTTAAGAATACAAGGACTGGTAGTTCTATCAATCAATCCTAATTTTTTTTGAAACAATGATGTTAACTTACGAATTTCTTATTTTGAAATTTAAATTACACCAAATTATAAAATAAAAGGTTATTGAATGTAAAAAACTAAGTACTTTCAATATTTAAGGTCCCATCTAATAATAAATGTAGAATAATTCAGACTGCACAATATATTTTTCTTAACTTATTGTAGAGAAAGAAATTTGATAAAAGAAAGAACCAATTACGTATAGATTGTTTAGGGGTAGTTATCATCAGCATTTGGCAGATGACAACAATTATATATCTGAGTTGCATTCATCTAACCAAATTTGATTAAATTTAATAAATAATTTATTAACTATATGGTTTATTTAGTCTAGAAACAATTTTTTTTAAATGATTTATAAATTATTAATTTTGTTTCAAAATTATATACTTGACAAACATTCCGTTAATTACACCAATGGAATTCTTTCTAACTCTTGACGTGTGCCACCTAATACATCATTGGCTTGGCCATGTGGCCCAAAACACATGAAGGGGAGTTGGTGTAGAGAAGTTGCTTCCTAAACTTTTGAAAAATGTTAAATATAGTACATATAGGTTTATTTTTTACAACATTTTGTTTTGGAAGTTTAAATTTTTTGTCAAATGTAATAATTAATTAAAGATGAAATATCAATTTACATTAATTAAGATTCTAATTTTAATTTACAATAATCAATATTATAATTTAAATTTTATTATTTCTAAAAAGATTTAATTTATTATTAAATATTAATATTTTTAATAAATAAACCCTTCCAAAATTTAATTTAATTAAATGAGCACCTGCACACAATTAAAATTACTTGAAAAAATAAAAATTCATTTCAATTTTATAAATCCCCAAATTAAAATCATGCATATATTATTAGTGTTAAAAATAAAAATAATTTTTCTATACAAATTAGTGAAAAATATGTAATTTAATAATGGTATTAAGTTTTTTAAGAAATAATAAAATTTAAATTATAATATTGATTATCGTAAATTAAAATTAAAATATTGATTAATGTAAATTAAGATTATTATCTTAATTAATTATTACATTCAATATAAAATTTAAACTTCAAAAATAAAATATTACAAAAAAACAAAAATATATATACTATATTTAACATTTTTCAAAAGTTTAGGGGTAATTTGTTTACACCAACTCCTCTTAGTGTGCTTTGGGCCACATGACAAGCCAGTAATGAATAAGGTGGCACACCTCAACAGTTAAAAAGAATTCCATTAGTCTAATTAACAAAATGTTTGTTAAGTATATCATTTTGAAATAAAATTGATAGTTTATACATCATTTAAAAAAAAAAATTGTTTTCAAACTAAACTGAAATAAATCACATAGTTAATAGATTATTTATTAAATTTAACCAATCAAATTTTATTCTTGCTTTATATAATTGAACGAGATGTGGATTAGAGGTACATACCAACTACATAACCTGGCAGATTTTGAGCTGTTTCGTAAACTGGGTTCCCTGCATGAAATAAACAAAATTAGCCAAAACCTTTTGCCACTAAAAAAGGAAACCACCAAGAAATGGAAAAGCATGTGCACAACTGGAACTCAAATCAAAAGAATTTGTTTCTAAAGTACCATAATATTGAAGAACACAATGGTTTTCCGGATTAATAACGTAGTAAGAACCCCCCCACTTCCCTCCACAGATAGCATTACTCCACGACAACTCAAATCCATAGGCTAACCCATGTTGGATGTCTAGGTAGGAGAGGTCCTCGTAATTCTTCTCCTGTATTGATGGTATAACTGCCACTGACTCAATACGGCATGAAGGTTTTAACTCATCTGAAGTAGTTTCTTCCATTTTCGCATAATAATACCTTTTGCCTTCAGATTCAGCCCTATAAGGTGTGGAGAAAGAGCTACCGTTGCTGCAGGCAGGAGCTTCTACATAAAGAGGAGCATTTACAGGCTTTTCGCAACTTATAAAAAGATTGCTCTTCCAAGGATAAACAAGATATGGATAATGATGATAATATCTTGGTGAAAACTTTAAGAAGTAATAGGCGGCCCAGGAATACTGAGGTATGGAGCATCTACCTTCCTCAACACTGGCATCAGCTATTCGAATTGTTTGATTGCCATAATCGATTGCTTTCACGTAGAATTTTCCTGATTTAAAATGCAATACCGTAAGGTTGTTCTCACAAGATAAAGTATATACTGGGACTTTAGTCAGTCCACAGGATGGAGGATCTGTGTTTAATCTGAAAGGGTAGCTAATTTTCAGATTATTTCCACAAGAAGAAGGTGGACAGTAATGTTTATTTTTGGCACTGCAGCTCTCATGAATTAAGGCGAGAAGAAGAAGAAGGAGAGCTACAAATCTGAGGCCTGGTCTACGCATGGAGAGGGGCAAAAGGAATCCGCAACTTTCTGGTTCTTTGAACAAAGTCTAGTGGTTTACGAAAGAAATACAATAACTTCTTGGTGTTAAAAATACCACACACCACCTTCCATCATTCGAAATATCACCAGAATTTGGACTTGTATTTATTTATTATTTAGAATGCGTAAGAGCACCATCAATAATTAAATTGAGACTGTTGCACCTGCCCCAAATGATGACATTTCTTGATGGTTTCCTTGTAGATGATGCTTCCTTGCAATTAGACAAAACAATCAACTTTAGAATTTTGAATCGAATATTTAGATCCAATGGTTCGAATCCAAGCCTTAAGTGCTTGGATGAGGTGGTCGGAGTTTTGAACTCTATCACCGTCATGAACTTCACCAAAAAATGGTTTAATGGCTGCGCGCCTCATTTGAGAGGTGGAATGTTCACCCAGTTTGGGGATCGAATCCCCAATTGTTAACAACTAATTTATACTAACTTTCTAACCATTATTTTTATTAAAAAAAAAAAATCAACTTTAGAATTTTGGGTACAAATGGATACCTCAATTTCTACCCCTCGTCTCCACACGTTGCTTGAATTTCCTCTTTTATCCTTTAAATAATAGTATTTTTCCTCAAATACCCCCTATTCCCTACAGTCTGCCTTTGTCTCCCGTTTCTCCTCTTAACTCTCCAAGAACAGGACACAAGCCCACGTGAAGATGCCTGAGCAACGCTACAATGATTTCTATTTGACATCTTCGCCGCAGATACCCAAGACAAAAAGGACGCCAGACCTGCAACCTTTTGTCCATCCGCTTGCTACAGCAGAGAGGGAGGGTTGGCTGGGCTTTTTGCAATGAAAGGTGGGATGAATTGATTAAGATCGGATGGCTGTGAGTGACTTTCTTAAAATTTCTACTCTATAAAATTGGAGACTGAGGGAAGTTATTGGAGATTTTTTGGGTTGAGCCGACAGTGGATAGGTGGAGAAAAGGTGAAAAACCGAGGAAAAGAAAAGGGATTTTATTTTAAAAATATAAATTAAGAGTATATTAATTATATTTTTTATAATTAATTTATATTAAAAATAAAATTTAACTTTGAATTTATTACTTAATTAAATTATCAATGTAATATTAATGTTAAAAATAATATTTATTTTTTTTAAATTTTATTGCAAAATTATAATTAATATACTGGTATATGTTAAAAAATCCTAATAATACGGGGGCAGGTTTGCTTTTGATATCGAGAAGCATATCGAAGATGATGATTTCTTGAGAGTTGTTGGATACTGGTGCTTGCAAATTTCGAATAATGTAATATGGATTAATTTAATTGATTAATTGATAAAATTAAAGTTAAATTTTATTTTTTTCTATAATTTATTGATTAAAAATTATATTAATTCTATTTTTAATTTGCATTTTAAAAAAACCCATATATATTTTTAATTTCACATTTGTGTTTATTAGTAAGTAATTATTGTTTTATAAGTCACTAATGCAGTGTTGTCAAAATCTAGATTTAAATTGTAAAATCTTACGATTTTACGATTTCAGCAATGCATTTCGTGTAAAATCTATACCAAAATCGAAAATTCATAAAATCTGGGGTCAAAAACGTAAAATCGAGATTTTACTGTGAAATCGGGTAAAATCTTGATTTTACCATTTGTTTGGCAGCTAGACTTTTTGCCCATTTCTTTTTGGGTTTCTCATCTTGGGTTAGTAGGTTTTGACTAGATAACCCATAAATTAAACCCATTTTTCATTTTAAAAGCTCACGACTCACACAACCCAACCACAAATCAACATTTTAATCAGGAATTCGGGACAAATTTGATTTAACCATCTAAAATTCTAAATCTAAGTCATCTTCTTTAGTCATCTTCTTTAGTCATCTTCTTCGTTTAATTTATTTGTGTTGTTGGATATTTAGATTTTAATTAGCTAATTTCAAGTTTCTAACTCTAAATTTGATTTATTGTTATTTAATTTTGATTTTATATAATTTATTATATATTATATATTAAATTTTGTAAAATCTTGATTTTATCGATTCGATTTTATAATTCCGATTTCATCTAGCCAAAACGATTTTAAGTAAAATCTCGATTTTAAGTAAAATCTCGATTTTAAGTAAAATCTTGATTTTAACAACCTTGCACTAATGACCTATTAGTTTGAATAAAAGAATCTTAATTTCTCTTAAATAAAATTTTAAATTCAAATTCTATAAATAAAGAAACAAACATTGAAAAGATTTTTTTTATAAGATCGAATACAACTCGATCAAAAGCAAAGTGATTACTAAATACCTCAAGCTTAGACTTTAAGTATTGGGATTATTATTTAAAAAAATTAATTTTTTTAAATATATTAAATTAATGTCGAAGGTGTATTACACAAAAACTAATTCAAAAGACACCCTACTCATAATTAATAAAAAAATATTATTATTATTATTATAAGTTGTTTCCTTGATGCAATGTGGATTTAGAGGCCTATATGGAGCCAAATCTATTTGAACTTTTGAAGTTATAAGATTGAATATTAGGATTGGATTAAATAGCAAGCTAACCTAAATCAAAATAGAATGCTCATCCTCTTTGAAGCACATGACCACAAAATAAGTCTCTAAAAATTTGAACCTTCTCAAAATAATACTAACGCATTATCCAAGGAGATTTAATGATTTATGAAAAATTAGATAACAAAAACCGTTAAACTGCTAGCAAACATAAAAGAACCTTTATCAAAGTTCAATTGGAGACTGTCACTGTAATGCGTAATCATTTTTTGAAATTTGGACATGAAACAAAACATAACTTTCCGAGTTGCTTGAGTTTTTAACACGGTTTTAATTTTCAAAGTCAAGTCAAGCACTAAAGTTTTTTTTTTTTTTTTTTTTTTTTTTTTGCCAGCAATAGCCGGGAAACTGAAGATTGTTAATGGCTGCTTGGGTTAACAGATTGGATGTGTATGATGGCC